ACTCTGCTCAGGAGCTCAACCTGGGAGCCGACACAGTGAAGTTCGTCAACGTTCCCATGGATGTAGTCTACAAGTACTACTTCAGGGCCAAGCGCACAGTGACAGGGCTGCCTGCGTCACAGCGCATGCAATGGCTGCAGGCCAAGGACGTGGAGGAGCGCAGTGAATGGGTCTCCAAGTTCCGTGAATCCACCATGAGCTTGGGCCAGGTGATCAGCGAAGTCTACACCTCCAGGGATGCGCACTGGTCAGCCCCTGGGCCGGCTACTCCGGAGAAGAAGACCACTGCCCCCACAGCAGCTTCGACTGCGAGTCCATCCAAAGTCCAGCCCAGTGCTTCGCCATTGAAGTTGGGGAAACCGATCAATGGCAAACAGGTGGCGACGGCCATGAAGGACGGCACCAAACTTTGCCCCCAGTTTCAACGTGGAGGGTGCAAAGCCAAGCCATGCCCCCAAGGAGCCCACCGTTGCGCAGCGGTTATCAGGAAAGACCGAGTGTGCGGAGCTTTCAACCATGGGGCGGCAAATTGCACTGGCAAGCGTTGACACACCCCAGAAGAGGAGGCGGCTGCCTCTTTTGGGTCAAACGGCATAGAGCCGCAGGAGGGGCGACCTCTGATGGCGGATCTTATGGCGGGTCCCAATGCCCCCCTTACCAAAGCCTTTGTCAGCTGTGGCTGGAGCTGCCTGACGGTAGATTGGTTGCTGGACGAGAGCCATGACCTCTCGGACGAGCGCAGGCAGCAATCTTTGAGCAAGCAACTTGAAGAGGTGATCTTCATCGCAGCGGCCATCGATTGCTCCACCAAGAGCCGAGCCAGAGAGATTCCTGGGAAGTTCGAAGATGGTAGGCCAGCACCTGGCCCTCTCCGTTCTGAAGTCTACCCAGATGGCCTGCCTCACTTGACTGGCAGAGATGCCAAAAGGGTTGACATGGACAACAAGGCATGCAACTACGTCTTGGGGGAGATCCAGAAGCTGAGAGACAGAGGTGGAAGCAGTGTACGAGAGAACCCTGCCCGTTCTTTGCACTGGTGGACTTCAGCAGAGGTGACTATGTGGGAGTCTGGACAATGGGTTGACACATCGTACGCAGCATGCACCTTAGGTGGCGCACGTTGCAAGCATCAAGTGTTGCGACACAATGTGGAGGAGATCCAGCGATGGCCCCCAGCCAACTGCCACCACGTGCATGACCCACAAGAATGGACCCCCTACACATCTGATGGCATAAGAGTTTACCCTTCCAAAGAAGAGGCAGAGTACACGGCAATCCTTGCTTTCTCCATTGCAGTCTCAGCTAGTTGGTGGGCAGCCCGTCGAGGGCTGGCCAAGTTGCACGTTCCTCGCATGCCCACATTTTTGGCTGTGGGGCGACGGGAGCATTGGTTGGACATGGGCCCTCGTGCAATGCGAGAGTGGGCAATGGCACCTTTGGCTGTGACACTTGGGTTGACAGAATCCCTGCGAGCCGAACGACCGGGGTTACCAGTCAGGAAGCTCGTGCAGGACGTCATGATCGAGAAGAACAAGTTGCCACACCAGACGATCTATGTCGGGCGAGGCAGCTTCCACCATCGGCTGACGACGACCAAGTGGAAATCGCCTTGGACACCAGGCCACAATTGCGAGGCTGGAGAATGGCATGCACGGTACATTGTCCATATCCGCACATCGCCGTTGTGGGACGCCCTGCATGAGCTCAAGGGCATGGCCTTAGCTTGCGACTGTCCTATGGAATAACTTTGCGAGGCCGATCTTCTCATTGGACTCCACTTCGATGCCATGGCCCCTGGGGGCGACCCAGGCAGTAGAGGCACAGATGGCAAATGGAGCCGGGCAGTTACTTTGTTGCAAGGTATTCAGGCGATCCCCAAAGGAGTAGCCCTACCCATGATGAGCCAAGAGGCAGTAGTGCTGGCATTTCGCAAGCTTTTCCCCGAGCATTGGTTCAGGCGTTACAAGTTTGCGATGGTGGAGGACCTCATCAACAGCCCGCCGTTTTGTTCCTACGCAGCCTGGCTGGCAGAGCGTGGTGAGGCTTGGGACGGTCCCTTAGTCCCCCACCTTGCTGCGGGGTCCGTGAGGCAACTGGCCCGAATTGGAGATGGATGCCAAGTCGGTGCAATGACGCACAAAGCAGCACTACCACCACTCCTGGCGTTCAACTTGGAGCCGGACGATCATTTCCAACAAGCCCTCCAACGGGCCCAGCGGCCGCTGCCCTATGAAGACCTTCCAGTCTCCGACATGGATTTGGAGTTTGTGGCCGATGCATATGCATCCCCGACCAAATCGCTGAGGCCGTGGAGGCAACAGGCAGTGGGGGCATTGCGCGAGCTGAAGAGACGCTGGGAGGGGGTGACCCTCCACTTGAGATCTTTTCAAGAAACCGCCGTGCAGCAAGTCACAAAACATCGAGATATGGGGCTCATAGCCTTGTTGATGGTGTTGACATCCTGGGCTGACACTAGCTTCCCCTTTGGCTTGATCTGTGGTTTGCCGGCAGTGGGCTATGCGCCACCCTATGGAATTTTTCCCCAGCAGCCGGCTGAGGTGATCAGCATGGCAGATGTTTTGGATGGGTGGCAGGAGCACAACCAGCACATCCTGAACCAGCTGCGAGCAGGCAAAGATGACGAGTTTCTTTTGCAACAATCCATGGAGGATGCCAACAACGGGTTTTGCACCGCACCTCTGCGACGAGCCGAACTTTTGCGGCTCATTGGCAACCGAGCACATCGTTTGATCCCTCGTTGTGTCATCACGCAGAGTTCAGGCAAGCAGAGAGTGATCGACAATGGCGACACAGGAGGACAATCAGCCCTCTCCTCCGATGCCAACAAGCTCACCTTGTGCAGTCCTTTGCGTCCGGCCCAGCACATTCGTTTGGTGATGCATAGATGGACAGCAGAGGACGTCGAGCACTTCTTCGCCAACGATGCCTGGGAGACAGGCCAAGAAGATCTACCATCAGCCTACCGGTATTGCCCCATGGCGATGCAGGAAAGCCTAGGCTGCGTAGTGGTGTGGTACCACCATGAATGGCAAACTCCAGCATATCAGGTCTATGCAGGCCTCCTTTTTGGGCTTCCGTTAGCGGTCACTTCATTCAACCGATTTTCCCGGTTGTTGGAAGCTTTAGCCAGGCGTTTTTGCCAAGTTTTGACATCTCTCTACTTCGACGATGCGACCATCACGGACCTACGTTCTTCCAAAGGCTCCGGACAATGGGCCATGAACCAGCTTTGCAAGTTGATCGGCTCCCCCTTTGCCGAAGACAAGAAGCAGTCAATGCAGAGCACAGGCACCTTTTTGGGCCTAACCCATGACCTCGACTGCATCAACCAGACAGGGCATGTCCGTTTTTGGGCTCGAGAACGTCTTCATGATAAAGTTCGTGACCTCCTCACTACGGCTAGGACTACAGGTCACTTCAGCCGTGGCACAGCTTCGAAGTTGTATGGCCTAGCGAATTTCCTGGAGCAGGGTATCTATGGCCGTGTAGGGTATGGTGGCCTGATGGCAATCAAAGCCAGACAGGATGAAGCCACTACATCGGTAACCCCTGAGATTGAAGCATGCTTCGAGGTGATCGAAGCAGTGATGCGCTTTCAGCCAAAACGGGAATTTCCCGTCTTTCACCTGGACAACCTGCGCTTCCTTGCTGCTTCAGATGCTGCGGTGGAAGCTGACAATCCAGGCTCAGGAGGTTTTCACCTCATCTTTTTCCAGCCTGACGGATCCCAGATACGTCACAGTTTTGTAGCCAACAATTGTGCAGAGCTTCAGAAATTATGGCAGCCTGCAGAAACACACATCGCCCAGTTGGAGCTCTCGATGGTGCTGTACGCCTTAGTGGAACGACCTGACCTGTTTCGAAATCGACACGGGCTTTGGTTTCTGGACAATGTTGCAGCCGTCATGACGCTCGTGAGAGGACGTTCTAGCAATGCCGACTTAGCCAAGCTAGGTCATTTGATCCATCTAGCTCTGTTTGCACTGCGAGCCCAGGGTTACTGGGAGTACGTCCAGAGCAAGAGCAACTGGGCTGATGATATCAGCCGCCTCGGCGCTGAGGACCCATGGTGGCGATGCCATGGTTTTGACTTTTATTCGTCGTACCTTCCCACTATCTTTTTCCAGCTGCCTTTCGTCGCTGTCATTCTCACCTTCGAATTCCTATAGTGCTTTGGGGATTTGAGTGCATTGGGTGATACCTGCTGAGCAGGTTCCAGCCTGGATCACCAGGCAGCTGACCAGTGGTGACACTGGTCTGAGGCTATGTACATGTCACAACGTGACGACCCAAAGCAAACCTGAGGATTGCAGGTGAAATGTGATTGACATTGGCATTGCTGTGAAAAAGGAAAGCTGCGGAAGAGCGAGCAGTATCGAGTTTCATATAACACTTTGAGATGTACCCATGCATCGAGTTTGGCAGGCTTGGGTGTGCATGTATCATCTTTAAGTGTTCAATGAATGCTATCATTTTGGCTCAAGTAAACTTGAACCAAAATAGCATTCATTGCTGTTTCTTTCCCCACCCTCCCAACCCTAAGAGCCGACCTCCCGTGGAGATGTCCGCCTAGGTTAGGGGAGCCTGCTTGGCAGGCGAGTCCATAGCCTCTTCTGGGGATTCTCTCTTGGGGTGACCAAGAGAGTTTTACCTTCCCTTAGGTTAAGGGTTGGGTGATACCTGCTGAGCAGGTTCCAGCCTGGATCACCAGGCAGCTGACCAGTGGTGACACTGGTCTGAGGCTATGTACATGTCACAACGTGACGACCCAAAGCAAACCTGAGGATTGCAGGTGAAATGTGATTGACATTGGCATTGCTGTGAAAAAGGAAAGCTGCGGAAGAGCGAGTAGTATCGAGTTTCATATAACACTTTGAGATGTATATGTATATATATATATTTCCCATGTTTCTTCCATAAACATGGCAATATTGCCCCGCTTGATACACCGAACGTTTGGGGGGGCGCCTTCAACCTAGGTGTGGTGGGTGCTATCACCTGGGCATGCATCAAGGGCTTCTCCCCTTGGTGGAAGAGACGGAGGCCTGTGGGGTCAACCTCCAGCTTTTGTTAGTGCTTCTATTTGGTTCTTTGATCATGAATTTTGGTTGAAATCACCGACCAGTTCTTCATAAACTCCTCATGTTTGTTCTTTAGAATCACCGCGTTTTGGTCATTAAATTCCTATTTGTTGTTGATTCCATGTCCATTTTTGCCGGTGAAATCCACATGTGTTCATGACATCTTCGCCGGTGCAGTGCACATTGTCGCTGCACACTTCATTTTTGTGGTTTCAAGGGTTTAAGCCCCATAATGTGTTCTTGCTTCAAACCCAATTTCCGTTGGTGAAATCTGCATTTTTGTTGGTGAAAACAGAGTTGGTGCATGTTGGTGCAACATCTCCATCCATTTTGTTGAAAATCACCATGTCCCCCAGGGCCCTAGCACGGTTTCGCCGCCCCAGGGAGCGGAACATCGAGTACTACGCGCAGCGCATGGCAGACGTTTTCAGCTCCGCGACCGAGCCGCGATTGCTGGCGGAGATGATGACGGAAATCCCAGCACTGGATATCCTGGAGATCAAATATGCCGCTGGGGGAAAATGGATGGGTTTTGGTGGTGAAAAATTGTCAAAATAGAAATTCACCTGGCAAGAAACGGGAGGATCATGGGGAATAATGGATGGGTTTTGATGGTTGAAATTAACCTGGCAGTTTGTGGGAGATCATGGGGAGAAATTGATGAACATGGATGAATGTGGTGTTGTTTTTTAATTCGTAATGATTCATAATGATATTTTTCCCGAATGCGTAGCAAGGGTTCCCGTTTCACTCTGGGGGTCTGGGGGTTGAGGGTGTGTTCGCTCGACGTTGCGTTCGCGAGCGCAACCGTTCGCAACCGTTCGCAACCGTTCGCGTGAGGACCGTATGGCCGTGCCTATGGGAAGTTTTACAGAGGTGGTCCTTTTTGGAGGTTTCAGACGTCTGGCTGCTTCGTTTCGCGTGGCAGGTGTGGCACTTCGTGACATTCAGACGTGTTCTGCAACGTGTCGCAAGTCGTTTTGCGTGGCAGGCGCAATACTTTTGCGACGTTTTCAGAAGATGTGTTGCAGTTTTCGTGGCAGGCGCAACACTTTGGACGCGTCCATCGTCATTTTTCGTGGCAGGCGCAGCACTTTAGACGCGTCCTGTGGCGTGTTTTTTGTAAATCGCATTGGCAGGGCTGCGTCAAGTGGTGACAAGGTGCAAATTCCGTGGCAGGCGTGGCATTTTCTGACATGTGCTGAAAATTGACGGAAGCCTCGCACGAAACATCGATTTTGAGGTTGCAAATTTTCAGGTTCTCAGGAAAACTCGTAGGAAAACGTCGATTTTGAAGCTGCAAAGTGTGAAAAGTGGAGGAAGTCTCGCACGAAATGCTCGTTTTGGTGCTCCCACCTGTCTCTTCTCGCGTGTCTGGTTTTCCCGTGGCCTCGCCGTGTCTATGGGGGAAGCTGCAAAACTTGTCTTTTTATCTTGTCGGCAACTGTGAAAATTGCCGGAAGTCTCGCACAAAATGCTAGTTTTTCTGTATCCAAGTGTCTTGTCTTGCGGCGCTTGTGTTTCTGTGGCGTCGCCGTGTCCATGGGGGAAGCTGGAAAACCTCTCCTTTTCGAATGTTTCCAAGCAGGTTGTCATGTTGTTTTGTGTGGCAGACGTGGCACTTTTTGACATTCCAACCTGTTTGATAATGTGTCGCAAATGACACAATTGGAGGAAGTCTCGCACGGAACGCTCTTTTTTCTGCATCCACGTGTCTTGTCTGTGTGTCTCGTTTTCCTGTGGCGTCGTTGTGTCTATGTGGGAAGCGGCAAAACACCTCCTTTTCGAATGTTTCCATGCAGGTTGTCATGTCGTTTTGCATGGCAGGCGTGGCACTTTGTGACATTCCAACCTGTTTGATAACGCGACGAAAATGTTAAAATTGGATGAAGTCTCGCATGACATGTTCGTTTTTCTGCACTTACGAGTCTCGTTTCGAGTCTTTGGTTGTCCTGTGGCGTCGCCGTGTCTATGGGGAAAGCTCCGCACTCCACACTCTACACTTTACACTCCACACTTTACACTTTACACTCCTCACCCCACACTCTACACTCCACACTCCCCACTTTACACTCCACACTCCACACTCTACACTTTCCACTCCACACTCCGCACTCCACACTCCACACTTTACTGTACACTCCACACTTTATACTTTACACTCTTCACTCCACACTCTACACTTTCCACTCCAGACTCCACAGTCTACACTTTACGCTCCACACTCCACACTTTACACTCCACACTCCACACTTTACACTCCTCACTCCACACTCCACACTTTACACTCCCCACTCCACACTCCACACTTTACACTCCACACTTCACACTCCACACTTTCCACTCCACACTCCACACTCCACACTTTACACTCCACACTCCACACACTCCTTCCACACTCCTCCAAACTCCTTACTTCACACTCCACACTTTACACTCCACACTTTTACACTCCACACTCCACACTCTACACTTTACACTTTACACTCTACTCTATACACTCTACACTCCACACTTTACACTTTACACTCCACGCTTTCCACTTTACACTCCTCACTCCACACTTTACACTCCACACTTTACACTCCACACTTTACACTCCACACTCTACACTTTACACTCCACACTCCACACTCTACACTCCAGACTTTACACTCCACACTCCACACTCTACACACCACACTCTACACTTTCCACTTCACACTCCACACGCTACACTCTACACTCTACACTTTACACTCTACACTTTACACTCTACACTTCACACACTACAATTTACAAACTCCACACACCTCACTCCACACTTTACACTCCACACTCCTCACTCCACACTTTACACTCCTCACTTTACACTCCACACTCCACACTTTACACTCCTCACTCCACACTCTACGCTCTACACTCCACACTCTACACTCCACATTCTACACTTTACACTCCATACTCCACACTCTACACTTTACACTCCGCATTCTACACGTTACACACTCTACACTCCCCACTCCACACTTTACACTCCAAACTCCTTACTTCACACTCCACACTCCACACTCTACACTTTCCACTCTACACTGCAGACTGGTAACAAGGGAAACATGTACAAGACTGTTCAAATAGACTATTGCAGAAAGGTATTGTGCGTGACTGCATAACCATGTGTTTTGACATCTGTACCATTAACATACGTGTGAGCATTCGGGTTCGTGGGCTTCATCTTGTTTTAATGGGAAGAACCTGGCAATTTGTGGGATATCATGATTGTTCGAGGGGATATGCTGCTGGTTTGGTGAGAAGTACGGGTTTTGATGGGATTCAGCTGGCAATTCGATGGGATATCATTGGGATTTACTGGGAACAAATGGGAAACAACTTCATTTCTTGGTCGTTGGAATCCAAAAAAACTGTGATTTCTATATGAATTTCTCGAGGTGGCGAACATGATGTCTGCCGAAATCTTGGGCAAACACGTGATTGGGCGATTGAATTGGGGTGAGCCGGCGTTGACAAAGCCAGTGGAGGATAAATTCGTTGATGGGGTTGCAAGGTCTCAAGTGATCTGGACGTAGGTGTCACTACCCATGGCCACCATAGGTGGCTGACTGGGGACTGTGCCGTGAAAAACTGTCCGCTTCGGACTGAGTGGTTCGATCCAACTCAGGGTCATACCTCAAAGGTCAAAGCATCAAGCTTCAGATTTTACGTGAATTTTCCATAGCAATGAGAGCAACTTTTTTATCTTTATCCTGAATGACAAAAATGCCTTGAGTCCTTCTTGGATAGAAATGTGTGTCATCAATTTGCGGACCACAGTGACATTTTTTGATTTGAACACATGCCTAAGAACCTGCTCCACCTACTTCTGCTAGTCTGATGAGATCAAACAAGAACCAAGATCTTATCCAATACACAAACCAGTATATACTTTGATTGAATACTGAATCTTGGATTGAATCTTGGATGCAAAACTGAATTCTGATCTCGATTGAATATTTATCAATATTTATCATTTGATCTCGATTGAACACCATCAGTGCCGCTGCTAACAGAGGACCATTCAGCTCCAATGCTGTGATCGAGTACATAGTCAGGCAACGTTCGAGCCCGCGCCTCACCATGAGGACGCGCCATTCTCGGCATAGTTGGCTAAGCCAACTTAATTTGCTCTACTTAACAGGAAGGGTGAAAGTCATATGGCTTACTTGATATTGATTCAACATGATCCTGGTTATAGGCCAATTGTTTGAATACTTTTATGCAAGGAAGGTAGCGATTTCGTATTTTTTCAGAAAAATATCGATCAATCAGAGGCTTTCAATCTTAAACTTGACCTGAAACCTATTTTG